ATTTTAGGTTCTGCTTAACACTTTCAAGCCCAACAGTTCTGCGGCATGGAAAAAGACTAAATTTATTTTGATTTCATTTACCGTTAATTAAATATAATTAATAGGATTACTCTTTGGTCATATATTTAATACTTTCATTCTTGGGTTGCATTTAAAATTTCAGTTTTGGTAACAACACTTGAAGGACTCAATGTCTATATAATTATGAGGGTTTGAACTGATGCTAGGCCATAGAGACAGAACAGATCCTGTTGGTGTATTTAACCATCCTGCTGCCCAACATCATGTTTGGATAAGCAGAAGTAGCCTCCATGGAGGTTTAAGAGAATATTAGGATAGCTGCTTGGAAGATTTCAGTATCTATACTCAAAGCTGCCTGTTGCAACTTAAGATTGCATGGCCAACATGACAACTACCAAAGCAGATAGAACCCCTAAATTGTTATGGCGAGTCTCTAATTTTCTTCATCCATAAATTATTGACTACAGAAAATGATTCACTATCTTATTTTATGTCAGGAGTCAGTAGGGTTGGGTACACGTAGATGGCTCCAGGTCTCATCATAGGTTATGCCAAAATCACTCCTTCTGAGCATGCTACCTAGTACTGCTTTCCTGATTAGCACTGCAACTGCTGCCCCTCCATTCACTTTTTTCCTTTAGAAGAACTTATTTCTTAAATCTGAATTGTGAACAGCAGAGAAATGAGCCAGAAATAGGGAGGTCAACTAGACAAGGCAGACGGAGGAAATTGGAAGGCAAAGCCAGAGAATATTACATGGCATAAGACAGGAATCAGATTAAGAATCTAAAACAAATAGAAGCACAGACAGAATGTGTTGCTTGAAAACCTGCCTTCTACCTAGAAATATTCACTTTCTAGTCTGGGTGAGTTAAATCAATCCAAAAGGTTCTTTATAAAAACATTCTTCTGTACCGAGAAGCTACTGAAAGGGAATTGAGGGAGCTATATTTAATTTCAGTTTTTATCATCATTGTTGGGAGACTGCTAGACTTTGGGTTGTGATAGGTGCCATTTTAGACCTCCAAAATGCCATGTAATATGTCAGGCATTGCGTATTGTGGGATTTGAGATAAAGGTCATCTTCTATGGCTCTGATCAGTTTCAGAGTATAGCTACTGCCTGAAAAATAGATATGGGGAGGGACTGACAATTTCATTTAATAGTGCCAGTGGGAATTTATTAGTACCAGGTATCCATTGGTGGTACTGTTTTGAAGGTGCAACAGAATCTAACACCAGCTCATCAAATCCATAGCTTCACCTGGATTTAATGAAAAGAGGCAGCTATAATTATGTTGCTGGTATCTCACTCTAAATGTCTTGGTATCACGAAAAGTAAATTGTATTATACACTACAGATATAGAAAAATAGCAAATAAGAAAATAGTAAAATATAAAAAGCATGTAAAAGTACATTTACTTCCATCTCATTCTATCTTTTTGAAAATATTTCTAGTTTTTTCTTAAATACATTGTTAAATGCTTTTTTCTCTCCAGTTCTTTCAGATCATATGACAAAGTTTCCCTACAGCCCAGATGGTTTTGCATTTACTAGACAACGTGCTATAACTTGTATCTGGAAAAAAAAACTTCTTTATTAAACCTACTGAAACTTATCAATGAAATGGGAATGTAAGGATGTCTATTAAAGAATAGTTGGGATTAATTTGGATGGATGGTTTTTCAGGAGGATGTCCAATAAAAGTTTTGGACTTATAATGCTAGTCTCATATTTATAGTATGAACAACAATGTGTTTAAATTCATAATTCCAAGTCAGTGTAAATTTCAACTTTATCACAAAAACTGACTGGACTTAAAAATATTACATTGGCTAGGTTTCCCATTGGTTAGTTTTAGACTACCAAAATAATGTTATATATTAAAAGGCTGTACACACACATACATATGCAAGTTAGCAATAAATTAATTCAGAAAGTGAAGCTATGATTAATTCTGTATTGCTCTTAGCTCATTTCTGTGTTTTAGAAGCATGCAGATATACTTATCAGCATGACTATTTTTAGTGCATGACATTTGATGGTACTTGTTCCATCATAATAACTTGTTAATGCTTCTGTTCTGTTACATATACTGTATTTAGTAAATGTGTATCGCTAATGAGAAAAATCTGATCATGTATTTTAATTGATTGGATTCAATAATTATGTTGCTTATTCCTGTAAAGCAAGTTTTGGATTTTTAAAAATATCTGGCCTTAATTTGTTCTCTAGCACCATTTGTGTTCAGCAATTGCTTGAGGATAAAATAAATCAAATGCACCCAGTTTGGGCAGTAATGTGAGTAAAAGATGGACTAGACAAGCTTATTACACTTGGTAAGGTTCATGGAAGTAGAAAGACAAAATATATGTGGTTGGGCAGGACTGAAAATGTGACTGGAATGCCTTTGAAAGTGCTGTGAATTATAACTGGGGACAGACTGAGATTTTTCCATTATCAACAAGACTTGGGCTACCTTGATAGCCTTTTTTTTCCTGAGACTCCCAGCAGCTCATTGTAGGACAGCTACTGAAAAAATGGCAAATAAGTGATGAAAGAAAATTATAAATGGAATATATCCCATCTTAGACACAAACCCAGCTGGGTAACCTTGGGCCAGTCACTCTCTCACAGCCCTAGGAAGGAGGCAATGGCAAATCATTTCTGAAAATCTTGCAAAGAAAGCTGTAGGACTAGTGTCATAACAACAACACTGTAGGATAGGCTGGTCTGAGAGATAGTATCTATTCTAAAGATGCCCACTGAAATTTCACGTGAGAACAAAATGCTTTTCAGCATTTTCAAAAGCTTTTCAGATTTGGTTATCTCATGTAGCTTTAGAAGAAAGATACGGTGGAACCTCGTTTTACGAACTAATTTCGTTCTGTGATGCGGGGCGCGCCCCTATTGGGTGGCGAGCCGAAGCAAAT